CAAATTTATAGAAAATAGTAGTTTTAACGTAAATTAAGTCAAAAATATGTAAAATTTCTCAATTTTAAATGTATATTGACCTCATAATAAATAGAATTTTTATTGAACCTAACTGAAAGAAATTTCACTTCATGCAGCTATATTAATATATTTGAATCCCTTGCCCTGTTTTTTATTTCATGCTTTTCTGGGCCCTCATGAAAACATGCTCCCCCACTCCTGGCCCGCTGGCACATTTGGTCTAGATCCGTCACTGTTCCTCCTCTTCACTAGACATGGATATACTTTAGTATATTCTGCTGTAAAATTAGTCCGATATTTTTTGTTTTTTACTCGAGGATTGAACCTCTGCCGTTTCACAGGATGCACAGCTTTGAGTGGTAACTAGGTGACTGCCAGAGAGTAACCCAGAGAAACTTATCGGACTGATCCAACGAGTTGCCTGGAACGCTGGTTGATCAGAGCATCGCTTTGGACAGATACGCAGCACTGGATTCACCAGCAACCTCCTCCCCACACCCCGCTCTCTCTTGTTGTTCCTGCGCAATCGCAGTAGTTCTAATCCGCACATGATGCACAAATTATTTTATTGCCTGTTCGCTTTCACTCTAATTAAAAAAACACCACCTCCCATAGTCTAAAATCCTGGATAATTTATCCGACTCGCGGGCATCCATGAACAACTATCTATATCAGGGAGACACCCGGAGCTTCCACTTGGGATGTCTGTAAAAGTAGCAGCAACAGCAACCCAGACTGACAGCTCATTGGCTAATTTGGATTATGTGCAGCCTATAAACATTAACAATGTAAATGATAGTTTTTAGTGCATCTTTATAGCAGTTTTAAAGCTTGCATAAATTTTATTTGGGTGCCAATGTCAATGTCTTTCATGGGCCCCAAATTCCTGCTGGCGCCCCTGTATATTTGTAGTAAGTTGTTACCCTTTGAAACAATGTTGCGAACATATGCTATACCCTTCACATCCAGCAGGTGGAGGTAGTGAGCAACAACATGCGATCCGCTGCGGTGAAACCAACAGAGAAGCAGGCTACCCGCCCTGTGGAGGACTGATGGAAACGCGGTTCGCAGACAAATCCTTCCAGCTCCAATTTTCCTGAGTGAACAGAGGTGAAGAATATGTCACTAACAGCTTTGAGTGTCCCGGTTGGTTTCCGGGGTTTAACGGTGAACTTTAAGCTGCTGCTTTCAGTTTAACCGGCTACAGCTTAGCTCCTCAGTTAGCATCGTTAGCTTTTCTTAGGCTTTAATCTCTAAGCTAAACTGTTTATATTATTGTCCTAATTTGTCTGCTTGTTCTCCAGAGCAGTTTCTTTTTTTGTTGGATTCGTTTGTTTAAATGTTTATTGATTATTTGGCTTCATGGTTTAAAGTAAAAACCTTGTGTGTGTTTGTTGTGCAGCTGCAGGTCTCCTGAGGTGAACTGGACTTTAGAAAGATGAGTTCTCCAAGCCTACAGCAGCCCAGCTTCCTGCTGGTCAGTCCCTGCTCACATCACCTGTTCACCTGCAGCTTACTTCACTTATACCACAACATCTGTTAAAGTTATTCAGTTGCTTTATTAGTCAAACATTAGGAAGACTCTTTAGTTAGTAAATGTTTTTAACAGTTTAACCAGAGATGATGTGTCCAGATATCTGTTATTAGAATTATTGGGTATCTGTGCTGTTTACTCCTGAAGTCTATGACCACCTCCATGATCACAATCTGCTTTTTAACTCTATACCAGGGGTCTTCAACGTTTTCTAGGCAAACTATGCGAAGATGGAGCAGGGACCCCATAATTATATATATTGTCTGAAATAGTGTT